GATAACAAAAAAAGTTCATATAGTACTATACCATAGTTGTACAAATAGCATGTATTATGTAATACTCCCCAGAAAGGTCCAGGATAGCAGCCCATAATAAAACACATGAATTATTTTTAATACATTTGTTATGTGCTTTAAGTATATAACATTTACTCCTCACAAACCCTGCATAAAACTGAGTACATGACATCCAGAAAGCATTCAAATTATCAGGACAGTTGTAGGTTTGCAGGCACCTTTATTAAACAAGTGTAGCTTTGTGGATGAATACAATTCAACATTTCATGAGTATGTCGAGAATTGAGGTATTTCTCAATAATTTGATATTTGACAGTATAAGGAGATGTTGCTAGCCATTTTCCGGCAATAGATTTTCCTACTATTTAAGGATACTTTTTTTTTGTCCTTATTTTGTAATTATCTTCAAATCCATAGCTATACTTATTTACAGATTTAAAACTTTTAGAATATGGAAAATACATGAAATATATTCCTATAGTTTTACCGTCACTTGTAGAAATACATAAAAGAATCACATGCTTCTATCATAAGTGACTTTTTTTCTCTATGATGCCATTTTCCTGCTTTTGAGTATATAAATGGAAAATAAAATGGACTAATAGTATCACCTAATACATACACTAGTCACACTAAAAGATAAAAGAGAATTTGTGAAAGCCAATCCCAACTCCTGTAGTTGCCTCAATTAAGTGGTGCTTGCCCTGTATGTGAGCATCACAAAGCCCAGTATTAGCCTTGGCAGGACTACAGCAGCCATTGGTGTAGGCAGCACTATAGCATGCTGTCTTGAGATCCAGCAGCAGAAATAGCAAGGTGTGATGCAATGTGGATAGTGGGTCACTTCTTGAAACTTGTGCTTTTAACATTACCATTTAAAAATTAACAAACTCAGTAGACATATAATGTAACAAACTATAATGCATGAATCCAGGTTCATTAAACTAATGCATTTTTTGAAAAACAAAATATGACAGAACATTTCATAATTGAAGCAGATATGAAAAAAAGTGTTATGCTGCTATTTAGAATGTGCCTTGTGTGTCGTGGAATTGAAATATTTCCAAATCATCAATAATTAAAATGATGAGAATCCATCATTTCACTGACATTTACTTCTACATGAAAAGATGGCCTATTTTAAATGTGCTCACACATATTCTTGTCAATCACAAGCTGTCACAGCAAATTATTTCATTTTGTAGATCACATGGCAGCAGAAAATCTCTAGGTTTAAATTTAGATCTTAGGTGTAGTATCAAGAACTCCTTTCATGGATTTTTTTTCTGTGACTACATGTTCACAAAACAGTATATAAAAGATATAAAATCTTATTCATAATACTAAGTTTCATTTCTGGTTAACAAAACTCAAGACTGAAATGAATCATTATAAATGATAACTCTGAAAGCCAAATAATAGAATAGGATATACAGGAAAACTAAAAAATTTTAAAGACAATCAGAGAACTCAGACACAATAGAACTTGGACCTAATGAATTAGGTCTAAACAGTTTTTCCCCCTCATCTTCTTTAAGATAATTAAACAATCACAGGGCATGAACCCCTTCTTATGTATGCATTGCTTACAGCTCCTAGCAGGTATATAGGAGCTGAACTCTCATAAACCCCATGGATCTGATCCAAAAATTTTCACTCTGCCACAATTAAGCAGAAGATTCAAAAACTGTGAATAAAACTCAAACCGCATGGCCATCAATCTGAAAACTTAAAAATGCCTTTTCAAACAATTCATTAACTACATCTTCACAATTCCAGCAGAATCATTAATAAATGTCAGAATCTTTAATGCTATATAAGACATAATAAGACATCTTCATCAACAGTCTTTATATCATATATTTCTATTTTCTTGATGTTTTCCATATACAATTAATCTTTCTGATTAGGCATTAAGCTTTAAAATGCAAGAATTATTCTAATATTGCATTTCAACAGGGAATGCTTCATGTCAGTCTTGACCTTGGTCTGACCTCTTATATGAAAGCTTTGTGTTTCGAGGTATGTGATGAATGGCTCTCTGGCTTTCTATTAAATCCAGTGCCACCGGTTGTCAACAGTGATTCTCAAAAGCGATATTAATATAGTTAAAATATCAGAGAGATTCTATAGGATTTTTTCTATCTTAGTAAATCTGGAAATAGTTCTTAAGGCAATTTTCACTATCTGCACTGCCTTTCCAGTGAATGAGGGAACCAATAAAGTATGGAAATATAACTGCCAAAACATACATTGACTTATTTTACCTTCTTGTGCCAGAAATAGGGTAAATTTTCCTTTGGAAGACCTATTTGATTTACATTGTTGAATAGTGTTCTCGGTTTGAAGGATTTATAACTTATGTACCCAATTTAAGCTCCTTACAGGCCAGAACTTCTATCTCTATGCCAGGGTCAGACAACAGTAGATACTCAATAAATATTTATTGGTTTAAATTTTGTTTGAATTGAATTAAATTTAATTTAAATCAGAGATGAAACAATAATGATAAAAAAGAAACTATGAGGCCCTTCTTTCATCCTTCTCTGATCTGGCCTAGTACCTGGCACACAGTAGGCTCTCAATAAATGTTTGTTGAATGAATGAAAATCAGAAAATTAAAATAATGACCTGATACTGATTCTAATGTCTTTTGGCTAATTATATATAAAATTCTCACATTCCTTTAGAAAGATGTACTAATAACACCCAATCCTTCCAACTGTTTTCCCCTATTTACCTTTAACATGTTCAATTTTCCAACTTCTGAGAATGCCTCCTTACTCTACATTTGTCTACCACAAGTTAGTTATACATACTTTATTTTTATGGTACACTTGTGAAAAGTTGGCAAATTATTGATTTGTCTATAAAACACATGTTAGAAAGGTAATCTTCAACCTAATTTAGATGGTTTGAAAATGTATACATAAATATGTGAGTAATATATGCATATATCACCCACATCAAGTTAAATATTACCTTTCATATATATACACACACACATATATATATATTTACATTTATATTCTTAACATTCTGAAAGAAACAAAATATCAGTGCTTAGGCTTATCTATATAACCCTAACTTACACGAGTGGCTTTTCCCCTTTATATCCTAAGTCTTTTTAATGGACATGTGAAATGCTAGTCTGTGTCCAAGCTCACCTACAATTTCTTTTCTCAAAAGACAAGGCACATCTGCCACCTGCTCTACTCCGTGTCCCAGCAACAACTGTCGAGCAGCATAAAGATTGATTATCAGTCAAAAACCATTGCACAACACCAGATTTTGGTGGGTTAAGCTTGCTGATCCAGCAAGAGATGGTGTGAAATTTTCAGGAGTGTGTGCCAACATTTTGGTGCTAAAAGAACAGCAGTGCATGTCACAATGAAACACAGCCAAAGATATGCAGACAAAGCAGAGAAGTTTTTTGTTCTGGGCTTGGCTTTTAAAAAGGATAAAAGAGAAGACAAAAAGTAGGAGGAAATTAGTTTGTACATTTAAAAATTATCCACCAAGCTTAGTCATGTGCATGACATTGTTGTTTTAAGCATACATGTCCATGAAATTTTCATCTTAGCTAAGATAAATAATATTTATATATCTCTTCTACAATATCATTATGCATATGAAAGGCAAGCATTTCTTATTAATTAAAGTAATCATGGATCTTAATAAAGCAATCATTACAGAAATATCTGAATTTTAAAAACTCACAGAAATGTATTTGCTCACTAAGACTCATGTCTTTATATAAGCAAATGATTCAATGAATGCAAAATAGAGGCAGCCATATTTTAAATTTTAAAAAAATTTTAAAAATATATGGGTCTACTCTATATTATCACGTAGGTTAATTTTTAATGAGTATTATAGCAACAAGTCCCTTTACATGGATCAAATTATCTTGAATTTTCTATTGGATTCAAGAAATTATTTCCTGATAATCAAGTATTATCAAAGAGATAGAAATTCTAGTATTATTTTATACAATAACATTAAGAGAAGAGAGATTTTCATCACCTTATCTGTAATGAACTCCAGAATTACTTTTCTTCTACTTATGCAATTACTGCCTAGACTTGCCTTTGATTCACCAGCTTTATAGCAGTTGCAGAAAAAAATTACTTCTAATAAGGTATAAAAAGCATAGGGAAATACAACAGTTAGAAACTGAATTTTTATGGCAAAGTCTTTATTCTTTATGTTATTTAAATTTGATTACCATATATAACACTTGATAACAAACTCTGGGTATAACATGCTTGGAAGAATATTCTTAGTGAGTAGTAATTTTATTTCCCTCTTAAAATGTATTCTTTCCCACTAAAGAAAAAAAATGTTATTTAATTTAGAAAATTTCCACATTTCTGAAATGCTAAAAACAATGGACTTTTCAAAAAGCCTTACCTAAAAATATGTCTAAGATTATATATATACATTTTAAGGTTAAAAAAAAATCAAGCTGCAGCAATTATTATGAAAAATGTTACTAGGAGAATCACATGTATATAAGAATTATATGTTCATTACTGGCCACATTTTCATAATTATGTTAATACCATTTGAAAAAAGACCAAGAGTATAAATGAATAAATGATATTTGAAACTTTGAACTATTTTCTGAGAGAATAAGTCTAATGAATTATGTCTGTTGAGTGTCACAGAAACTAAACAGTAAATTCAATAATCTCTGATTTAATTTATTATATTTTCACCATTTAACCTCCTGCAGGCTCCCTAATGTCTATTCAGATCTATATTAAATTAAGCACCAATGCTAATGAAGGGCAATAAACGTGGCTGTCAGTGGATTTTTCTTTCATTAAGCACATTATCCTCTTACTGAGCTGTAAATGCGTAAACATTAGTTTTGTTAAACCATGCAAAAAAGACAGGATGAAAATCATTTTTTAATTGCACTCCTTAAGCAATTTACTGTGTGGGGGGGTAGGTTATATATTTTTCTTTTTTACCTTTAATTTTTTTTAATGGATCTAAAAAAGGCTCTCCCGTTGAAATATAAACGTCGGCTTCATAGGGTATATCTTTAGGTGCGAAGGCTTCCTTGCCGTCTGCCAAGAACACTCGTCTTGCAGCCATGTTCAGATTCAGCTTTTCTGTGCACTGCTCCAGCAACTAGAAGAAAGCAAGAGGTGAGACAAAGTGGTTTATGACAAAGAAAGTAACACATTTTGACAAAACAAAACATTCTAATGATCAAAATAGAAACACATTTGAATCTCTTGCCAAGTTCAGTAACTGGACCAATATAGTTATTTTCTAGCAGTTGAAAATATGGAAATAAAAGGTAAATCAATCACAGCATGAAGAATATCTAATTACTGTCTAATTTTAATCCTTAAATGGTCTGTCATTTTAATAACTTTACAAAAGATATAATGCCATTGCATCTGTTTAATTAAATACACAATTTATATATTGGTTTTTTTAAAAAGGAAAGCAGTGAAATGCTTTTGAGATCTATGTATGTATAAGCAATTTACAGATGATTCAGATTCCCAAAAAGAAAATGTTAACACAATAAATGTCATCTTTCTCATTTTTCATATTATAAAGACAGTAAGGGAAAATATGAAGCACTGAAAACTTTGGAACACTAGTTACCAAGGTGATGGTTGGTACAGTAACTTTGGCAAAGACTGTTCTAGATCCATTTTTGTAAGCTGTTACTTTAATCACTCTTGGTTGAAGCTTGTGTCTTTGAGACAATCTATGCCAATTCTGGGCCAACTGAAATTTTAAAGGAGAAAACTCTGTAACCCTGAAGAAAAAAAAAAACACAAAAATTGGTGTATGTTAATTAGTAAAAACTCTTAAATAAATATTATCATAGGGTTTTTTAAAAATGGATTTCAGACCTAAAGATTGTTCTTATGTATATAAAGTAGTCCCAACAAAACTTTTTATAGGATAAGATTGGCGTAAGGTTATCACTATGTTTTTAAATATTTTTAAAAATTTAAAATAAGTTTTCTAAAACTGCTCATGTAAAACACATATATCAGAATAAATTATCCTTATTGTTTTACTTAGAAAATACCATAACATTTTAAACAATCATATATACCCCTAAATTTTATGTATATATCTTCTATGTTCTGATAGCAAAAAATAATATCTTAATATCATGAAATAGTAAATGGCTAATATTTTCCCCAAGTTTTCATGTTTATCAAAGTTCTTTGACTTTTTGAAAAGATTTGAAATTCAAATAGATTACAACTAAAATTTTGATTCCAAAGTTAATTGTACTACCTTCATTTTAAATTATTTAGAGACAGTAAGACTTAAGATTTCTAAGTTTTGTCTTCAGGCAAAACTGGCTTTGATCTTTATTATTTTCTCGGCAAAAGTACACAGTAAATTGACTAACGTCAAATTTTTTACTTTAGAATTCTTTAACTAACCATGTTAATTTGTACTATCACAGAAGTAAACATGTTAAAATAAAAACTTCAGGTAAATTAAAATCACAGCATATTCAAATATCTGAAAATATTAGTTTCTTGGCTTGATTTTGTTTTTAGCGACATTTTCTTCTGTCACGAACTCTTAGGTTAACAGTTTATGATAATCATCTTGATGTGAAAATACAAAATGGTTTTATATAACAAGCTCATTTCAATCCAATTCTGTTTCAAAATATTAGTTAAATATAAAAAATATACATTTCTATTTTAAAACAAATATCTTGTAAGCAAAGATATTTCATGTTCCTAGGCTGATTCTGCTTCAAATATTCTTTTCAGAGTTCCAGATTACCCAGTTGAAGTGTATCTCATATTTTCCACAGTGTAATTAGCAACATTCTACTCTGGAGCTTTCAAAGAAAAAACAAAAACAGAAACAAAACTCCAGAGGTGTGTTATATTTTAATGTCTGAAATAGCCAATTGAATCATTATAAATTCTGCTCAAAGGAAAAAACTTCAACAGTCAGTTAAAAAGAACAGAGAACAGCTTTCATTACCTCAGTTGACCCACTGGAGCACTGACAGGTCTGTTTCTCTTGGATGCTGATAAAAACCAAGAATTGTTTTTACTGTTTGATTTGTAGCTATCTAGGTCTGGTATTTCATCATGGCTGTGATCTGATGCTGTTTGATGTGTGGAGCAATCTTGAAGTCCTGACCCTTCTGATACTGCTACTGAATGCAAAAGGCTGTTGGGGCCAAACTGAGGCTGCAAATAATCATCAGTAGTTTTAATAACTCCTTTTGTCCGGGATGACATAAATTCCCTGGAAGAAACAATGCATGGAAGAATACAATTAATTGATTTGTAATCACTTATTAACAAATACTACATAATAACTAGTTGTGTGCTATACTATACACTTAGCCATTATTTGGTTTAATGCTTACAGTATCCCTAGGAAGTAGGTACTATTTTTATCCCCATTTTACAGATTTAAGAAGGCTTAATCTGTAATCAGAAAATCAAGGCTTACGGAGGTTAATTAACTCATTAAATGTCACATAATTAATAAGTGACAGGGTGGAAATTTGAACCCAAGCTTGTCCTAAAATAAAACCCATGTTTACAATCATTAAGCTTCACTGGCATACTTAACTAAAAGAAAACCTGGATAATACTTCAAACTACAGAATTATAATTTTAAAATTCTTAAATTTGCTTTATTTCCTAATACTTAGCAGGGTGCTGGTATTAGAAAAACAAAAGTTAAAGAGATGTGGGTTCTACCCTCAAGAAACTTGCAAAGTATCCCCCGATAGAGAATATATGTTAAATAAACTGCTAGGAACTATGGGTATGTATTAACTTTAAAGTAAAAAGAATTCCTTGAAGGCTATTTGAGAACAGATAGGAAAAAAGTTGGTAAAAGCTTCACAGGAGACCTGAGAGTTTGTCCAGGCCTGTTCTGAAAGTCACCCATCCAAGAACTCTGTCAGTCTTAGACACACTGGGACAGTTGGTCAACCTACCTGGTGTTTAAGCTGGAAGAATAACATTTGGATGAACTATGATGTGTGAACAGGTAACCATATGACCAGGGATAATATGTAAATCTATGTAAATATTAAGTTAGGAATATGGAATATGCATAGAGTTTGCTGGTATAATAAAAAAAGTTTCAACATATTTGAGAATATTGAGCTATGGCATGATCAGGCATAGAGGAGTATCAGCCTATTCCTGTAATTGGGGCCATTTTTTACACAAACCAAATCTGCCTATTTCCAATTGGCTAGTTCCTCACTAGTTCTTATACATAATATAAACTCCACAACATACACACACACACCCAATTATAAATTAACATATGTTCAGTGTTGAAAACAGCCCTTCCTCCAAATCTTTCACATCCACAAATATCATTATAATCACAATTATTTCTTTTGGCCTCCCCTCTTTATGTTCACAAATGTGTTAAATGGTCAATTATTTCCTGAAGAATGAAAGGTAGTCACATGTCATAAGGAAAATGCATGTGCTTGTGTGTGAGTTGACAAAGTGGATCAATGGGAGCTAAAACTATGGGATCCAAGTAGTTGCATTTTATTGGTGGTGGTGCCATCACATGTGCCCATCCAAGTCTGCCCTGGACTGAGTACAGTACTAAGGAGAGGAATGGCCTTCCCTACACTCTGAGGATCCACTCAGGTTCAAAACTGTGACAAATAGCATCTTGAAAGGATCACTGGACCCCAGCTCTGGCTAAGGTGGGACCTTCCTTCAGACCACCTAAGCTACTCATATTTTGACAGCAGTGGTGACTGGTAGCATGTGGCAACAATCATGTCACATTGGCGGTGTTTCTACAGCAACAGCCATGGAGTCATAAATGGTCACTAAGCCCTTCAACCTGAGGAAATATTCACAGATCTCATAAACAGTTCCCAGTTCCCAATAAATAGTTACTTAAAGAGCAAATTCTCATGTAAAAAAAAAATGGAATTCCCTACTTAAGAGCAGAATGAAGTGGGGTATTTTATGAATGCCTTTTGTTTATTGTCAAATATTTTTATAAATATACTAATGATTTTAATATAATAACCCATTATTCTACTACCACAAAGCAAAATTTTTCATTTCTCCACATACCAAAGTTTTAATCATATATCTTTAGTTCTATATTTTGATTTTTTGACTTAACACTGTTTTATAACCAATATTCATGTTGCTATATGGCCTCTATAGATTTTACTAAAATGTAATACTTCAACTACCTTTTGCACTCCTTTACTTAGTCATGCAGAAGTTATCTATTATTTGTGTCTGCCTAGCACATCTTCCCCTTGTTTTCTGATAACAGCACTTGCATCCTTTGGGGAAACTCTCCATCATCAACCCTTCCCAATTCCACATGATTCTGGTAGGGTTAGGACAATAAATTATATGATATTTACTTTGTAAATGGTACAAACAATTAAATTAAAATGTATGGTGTGACCATATGTTTATTTATTACCTGCTTTTCTCTAGTAATTTATATCTAAAAGGGGGAGAAAGGGTACTTTTTCATGTTAAAAAGTTATTATTGGCCCACTATCCGGTCTTCAGCTTTGGTTTGTTTTATCAACATTGATGATAGTTTTTCAATAGTTCTTATACACTCTCAAACTCTTCTTTCTTATAACAATTGATATGTGTTTCCTAGTTGTTGGGTGCATGAGAGGATGATCACATAATATAGTAAAGCTAACTTGTCCCACATGGGAATTAAACCTATACACATGACTTGCTAAATTGATGCTGGAACTGAGGGTGTTGGGAACATCAAGCTTTCAAGGAAGAGAGACACACTTGAGTTTCAGGTGACAAGACTTATTACTAGGATAAATAAACAGTTAAAAAAGTAAATAAAACCATTCCAGCAGGGCACAAAGAAAATTGGAAGGCCATTCATAGCTGTCGAGGATATACTAGTGTCTTAACAACTCTAGTAGACTGCTATGTTTTTTGACTTAGCAACTCCTCCTCCTACATCATGATTGCCTGACTTACCTCTATCTTCCTCCGCATTACTCATGGCTTCTGTTAACTTCTTCTTTGTGACTCCCCATTTCCATGCTACATTACTTTCTTCAGTCTTTGTCTATATGATTTACATTGTAATTCCTCAAAGAGTTTAATTTCATCACTACCCAGTATAGGACACCCCTGTTGGGTAGAACTTCCAAGCTAAGCAACCTTATAAGCCACTGGCAAAGCTCCATATGGGAAAGTACCTATTAATTGCCCAAACAGCTGTGGATAGGACAGCAGGAAAAGGTACAAAGTAGGAGGGTAACATGGGCTCTCAGATGCCTGCCAAATGAGAAAAACATAATTGGCAGAGGACTTGCATGACTTATCAAGTATACTAAGATAAGCAGAAACACTATATATTGGTTCATTGAAAAAGTACTCACTAAAATATACCATACAATTTAAAATTTCTACTAGAAGTGTTTAAATTTGACAACTACTAAAATACTGCTCTGATTCTTCATATTATTTTATTTATTTTTTTCTTCATATTATTTTAATATTAGTCATTCATTTCTAATAACAGAGGAACATAAGTATGTAGTACAATTGTAGGCCCAGTTAGTTGACAACACTGGTCCAAAGGGATGTGGTTTAAAACATAAGACTGTCCTCCTTAAAAACCTTAGGATATCAATCTTTTATTTGTTTTTTTAATTTCAACATATTACGGTGGTACAAATGTTTAGGTTACATATATTGCCTTTGCCCCACCAGAATCAGAGCTTTTAAGTGTGTCCATCCCCCAGACAGTGCACACCACACCCATTAGGTGTAAATATACTCATTCCCTCTTTCCCCCTCCCACCTGCCTGACACCTGATGAATGTTATTACTATATGTGCATGTAAGTGTTGATCAGGTAATACCAATTTGATGGTGAGTACATATGGTGCTTGCTTTTCCACTCCTGTGATACTTCACTTAGTAGAATGGGCTCCAGCTCTATCCAGGATAATACAAGAGGTGCTATATCACCATTGTTTTTTGTGGCTGAGTAGAATGCCATGGTATACATATACTACATTTTATTAATTCATTCTTGTATTGACAGGCACTTGGGTTGTTTTCACATCTTTGCAATTGTGAATTGTGCTGCTATAAACATTTGAGTGCAAATGTCTTTTTTACAGAACGTCTTTTTTTTTTCCTTTGAGTAGATGCCCAGTAATGGGATTGCTGGATCAAATGGTAGTTCTACTTTTAGCTCTTTGAGGTAGCTCCATATTGCTTTCCACAGAGGTTGTATTAGTTTGCAGTCCCACCAGCAGTGTACGAGTGTTCCTATCTCTCTGCATCCATACCAACATTTATTGTTTTGGGACTTTTTGATAAAAGCCATTCTCACTGTAGTTAAGTGATATCTCATTGTGGTTTTGATTTGCATGTCCCTGATGATTAGAAATGTTGAGCCTTTTTTCATGTTTGTTGGCCATTAGTCTGTCTTTTCTTGAGAAGTTTCTGTTCATATCCTTTGCCCACTTTTTGATAGGGTTGTTTTTTCTTACTGATTTTCCTGAGTTCTATATAGAATCTAGTTATCAGCTCTTTAGTGGATATGTAACACACAAATATTTTCTTAAGGAATTTAACCCAAACAACTGCCAGCATGATAACCTGATCACCATAATATAGGACTTTATTATTCTCTCAAAATCCTTCCATTTATTGTTGAGAGTCCCCAAAGTGGTACATTATAAATTCCTAAAAGTACCTCCCAAGTTCCTATAAAAATGTGCTGATAAGAGTCACAGCAATTTCTACTCTCTTCCTCCCCTCACTACCTTACTGCTGCCACCACACAAAAAATAAGGTCCATGCCAGGGTGCTGCCTCAGTATGTTCCCAAAGATTACAGTGCTTGTGACTCCAGAACAGTCCAGTGGAGCAGTGGTGAAAAGGGATTCCTCTCCAACTCTTTCCTATACTAAGTCACCTAAACACTGAAGCAGCTAAAGTTGTGAGTCCCAAGGAGTCTTCATTGAGTAGTTCTAGCAGTTTTTGGCCTTTGTCTGCCCAATTACAGGGCATACTAACACAGTCCGCAAAGCCAGGCAAGGAATAAATGGTATATCATACCCTCCATATTGATAATAATCATAAGAATACTAACTACTAATGCCAACAGAGCACATATTTATGTCAGTCACTATTCTAAGCATTTTATATAACCATTCAAGCCTCACAACAGCTCTATATTATCATTTTCTTTTTACACATGAGCAAACAAGGCTTGTAGTATTTGGGC